AATAGTCGATATGTTTGCTTTTGAGAAACGCTTGAAGCTGTGCATTCATAAATTCGCTTCCATTATCACTTGTGATGATGTTAACTTTGTGTAGTAGGTCGTGGAAGTAACACACAACTGGGGGAGCTGGCACTCCCTAATTCTGCCTAGTGTATTGCTCTCCACTAAGCAAGTTCTAGACTGACTAACTGACTCTTTGTCTGTACTCTATGTATACATACTATGTATACTTGGCAATACATACCCTGTATATATTGCCAGCTCGGGCCGGCAATACTGAACCTCAATCATCACTCGATGGTTGGCAGCAGCAACCCTGCCACTGCCAATCCGAAGATCAGTACTGCCGCCCACTGTAGTGGCTGGATGAGGCTACATGCCCCCAGCCCACTACAGTCCCTCTTCTTAAAGACTCATCCAGCCACGTGGTATGATCTTCTCCTTGGTCTTGCACTTTCATGTGCGCTTCTAGACACTGCCATGCGCTTGACCGCTAGTGGCAGGCACACACACACCTCCACAACATCCACTCCCCAGGGTGAGATGCTCAGGTGTCAGGAACTCTCTGACACCACGTACCGTGCAATTGACGCCTCCGAGCTCGATGATCAAATGCCTGGCACACTCGCGCCCAAGCACCGACACTTCCCGACGTTGGCATCCACCCGGGTATGACGCTCCAGCATCCGACACACTCGCGCCTTCCCGACGCTGTTTCCTCGACGGCATCCACGATGTTCCGGTGTCGGCACACTCGCGCTTCTCAACCATCACGCCTCAGATGCCCGCCGATTCTTGCGCTTCCCGGGGCTTGTTGTTTGAGTCCCGACGAGCGCGTTGGACGCCTTCACGTACTTGACCTTGGCATCCCCGTCCTCGGCTTCCAACGCTCCAGCGTCCTCGTACTCACGCCGTCGGACTCACGTTCTTGGGTCCAAGACGATCGCGCCCTCCGACACCTTAGACACCTCGACGCACTCGGACTCAGCATCCTCAGTGTCCGGAACGCTCACGCCCTCCGACCCCATGACGTTGGCACCACCTTCGTCGTCCGCCGCACGCCATCTTGGATCTTGAACCTCTTCACTGACCCGGGCACTAAAGTTAACTTTGTAGTAGGTCGTGGAAGTAACACACAACTGGGGGAGCTGGCACTCCCTAAAGCTTCTGCCTAGTGTATTGCTCTCCACTAAGCAAGTTCTAGACTGACTAACTGACTCTTTGTCTGTAGTCTATGTATACATACTATGTATACTTGGCAATACATTCGTAGGGACATCCTGAGCCAGAGTATCCAAGGGCTCCCATGAGTCCTCAATGGCTTGTAGGCCCATCCACGATACCAGCAATTCCCAGCGTTTGCGTTCGCTGTTGAAGCGATGATTGCGGATACTGTCGACGCCTAAAACCATTCCCTGCCGCGACACCAATTCTAGGAGCTCTTCAGTCTGGTTGAGCTCCGCGTCAGCGTAAAATTTAAGACGCGATGCATGTACATCATACTCCCGTCCAGTTATGAGGTGCTGGATCGTGAACGAATGAGGCTTGGCCTCACTAATCTTGAATGGACCAAGCCATTGTCCCAAGAGTTTGTTATCTGGGAGGCGCTGGTCAATACGTGACCAAAGAACATAGTCACCGACGTCAAAATTGGCGACCGATCCCTTGTGCGCTGCCATGTCTTGCAGACGTCTGCGCTCCTTCTCATCCAGCACATCTTTGTGCATTCCATGTAGCGATTGACGCAAAGCTTCCAGCTTCTCGTCGACCACATCCAAGTCCATTTCCAGCACAAAATCGACCTCGTCGCGACGACCCACAACAGCGTCCAGCTGTGACGAAGTCGGGAGTCCTGCGAACAGTTCAACAGGGGAGTGACCTCCCAGTGATCGTAGCGGCGTGTGATTCAGGTTTGCCTGTAGCACAGGCAGGAGATACGGCCATTCATGGAAGTCGAGGTCATACTCCAGCAGGGGGGCTCGCAGCACTTGTAGCACGTCTTTGTTGAGGCGCTCGACCGTTCCGTTAATCCACGGGGAGTATACCGGCGAGAATTCCTGCTCAATTTTCATTCGAGCGCACAGATGCTTGACCGTTTCATTCCGAAAATGACTGCCTTGATCGGATAGTAAAAACTTAGGGACGCGCACCACATCGAGAGTAGTTCAGCCGCAATATATGCCGTGGGTGTACTGCATGGGAGCAACTCACAGTAGTGAGTCAGTTCGTCTTTGGCAACCAGTAGGTAGGCCGTGTCCCCATAGCCACTACCAAGGGAGAGGAAATCCCAGTGCAGCGCTTCGTTCCGCACCGTCGCCGTGTGACTTGGTCCATATGGTCGAGGGATCATTCTTGGACCCTTGACATGCTTGCACAGCAGACAACCACGTATAAACGCTGACACCTTTTCTTTTACACGGGCAATCCAGAAGTGTCGCTGCAGCAGTGTGACCATCGGGTCCTCTCCTCGGTGGCCCTGTGCGCCGGCGTGCGCCACCACAAAAATACGTGTGAGGGGCTCTCTGGCCCTGTTGGGGATCCATGGCCGTCCATCCACTGCCACAATACCGTCCTCCTCCTCGAGAGCGACTCGCAGGCGTGCACGCTCTGGTCCAGCCAATCGTTGCGCCTCGCGCACATCGTCCAGTGTAGGAAAAACAAAATGCTCATCAGACAACGGGCGAAGAGAGGACGTCGTCGCCAAAGGAGCGGCACGTTGGCTGCGCGTCTGTACAGCAGCCACACGGACCACCTCGCGTGTGTGCCATCTAGAGACAATATCCGCCCAGATGTTGTCCTCACCAGCAATGTGCTCGATCACATAATGCAACCCGCACAGCCGCATTGCCCAGCGTTGGAGTCGATCTCGAACATGTTTCTTGAGATCATCATGTGGCGCAAATATGTACACCAAATTGGCATGATCACAATAAAGCCGAAACCCCTTCTCGCGCAGCAACAGATACTCCAGATCCTCATACGCCTTCACGATCGGATATGCCTCCTTCTCCACAATCGTCCAATTAAGCTCATTGTCCTTAAACACGCCTCCCTTGCAGATGATCATTTCGTGCCGCTGCTTTGTGACTGGAAGCTCGGGGTCCCATTGAACAACCTGTGTCACCACAATAGAGTACCCAGTGAGACTTGCATCCGTAAAAACAAGTAGCTCCGCGTCTGGATCTGGTGATGCCATCAGCGCCGAGTCGCGAACCAGTGACAGCATCGCTTCATAGGCATGTTGCTCGTCCGTCGTCCAAGTAGTAGGCGCGTTCAGCGCATTCCGACTGCGTCCGCCGACTCGCTTCTTTTCCGCCACTAATTTCTTCTGGAGTGGGGCAATCATGCGTGCATAGTCTGGTAGCGAATCTTGGAGCCAATTTGTGGCGCAGACAAAGTACTGTAAATCGGCGATTGTTGCGGGTAGTGGAAGCGTAGATAGCGCATCTACGCGAGTAGGGTCATGGCGAATTCCAGACCCAGAGATGAGACGTCCACACCATAGCACTTCAAGTTGAAATAGCGAACACTTGCTACTGTTCAGCTTTAGTTTGGCCGCCGCGACCAGTGCGAAAAAGTGTCCTAGCACCTCGATAAACTCATCCACTGTACTTGCGAAAAGAATAACATCATCCACCCACACCAAAGCAGAGTTAGGGATCAACGGAGCCAGTACACGCTGCATTTCACCTTGAAAGTGGAGAGCTGAGTCCGTCGCTCCTTGGGGGACTCTGTTTGGCGTGAACACGCCATCTTCTGTAATGAAAGAAAAGATCTCCCTGCTTCGCTCATGTAACGGCAATTGCCAAAATCCTTGAGTGAAATCGAATGTTCCAAACACTTTCTTGCCAGCGAAAGCGTCTGTCGTGGTTGCATTGCTTGGCATCGACCCAGCAATAGGAATAGTGACCCTATTTACTGGCCTATAATCGATGGTCATCCGATACTTGTCGCGAGACCCAGGTTTGCGCACTGGTACAACAGCCGATGCCCATCTAGACGCATTATTCTTCACAACGAGCCCATTGGCAACTAGGGACCGGACATATTCTCGCACGAAGTCAGCCTGTAGCGGCGCGTATTTGCGTGGCGGGCTTCGGTATGGGACTGCGTCGCTTTGTAAAGTCACTTGTAGAGGTTCTACCTGCGCTGGTGGGTCAGGACCAATAGCTTCAGTCCAGATATCTGGGTACTGGGCCAGGACTCGTCGAACAGCCTCAACATGCTGTATCGGAAGACCTTCAGACACTGCAAGAGATACTAGTCGCTTGATTACCTCGCTTGGATCATCATGAACGTCCTGCTCGCTAAGTAGACCATCTCCCACTGGAAATTCATCTTCCTCGGCAGCGAGAAGAGGTTGGCCTGCCAGTTGAGCCAGTTGATGCTCCACATCAATGCCTAGTTCCTTAAGCGCATCTCGTCCCAGCAAGAACTCGTCACTTTCACCAGCTAAAATTAGACACGGTACAGAGCGAATCGACACCGGTCCAGCAATAGTGACTAGCTCGAGGTTCAACAGCACTTCGTGTCCACACACCAACCGTCGGCCATCAGCCATTTCGACATCAATCGGCGTACTTAGTGGGGTTAGTGAGAGTGTAGGCTGTACAGCTCGGAGCGAATCCACCATTCCTTGCGAAATTATGCTCTTATCAGCACCAGTGTCAGGGATATATGGTACTTCCACAAGACCATTAATCCGGACAGAGCCTGACGGTCTCGCGAACCTAGCAGCCTTGGAACGAATGGTATTATACCGCTTCTCCTTGGCCTCCTGGAACCTGTTTCTGGCCTCAGTCCGTTGCGCCTCCGTGGCAGTTGGGCAGTCCTTAAGCCAATGCGGCCCTTTGCACACGAGACATCCGTATTGAGGTGGAGGGCGAGGAGGTCGTGCTGCGTGCGCAGGCGCGGAAGACGTCACGGCCGCCGTCGTCGAGACCCGAGTCGGCGCCGGCTTAGTAGCACCCGCACGTTGTGGCTTGCGTTCTGACTTGGTGTCAGCCTTTGCAGCATAATCCTGCGAAATCCGATGAAATCGCTGTTGCACCTTCGCATGTTCCAGTATCAGTTGAGTTGCAGTCACGCCTCTCTAAGTCGATAAGTCGAGCGATCTGAGCTTTCAGGATCGGAGGTTGCAAATTATCCACCAGTAGACGGCAGCGGGCCTTCGATCTGCTCTTGTAGTTGGCAGCCGTCTCACTACCGGCTCCTATTAGCCCTTGGAGACCATTGTCTTCCACAATGCCATTGAAATCTTCGTAATAGAGGAAGATCCGAGCGTCACAATCATCGATTGACAGGTCCATCTTAAGCTTCTGGCGAAACAGAGACGTGACATCTGGTACAAACTCATTCTTGAGTGTGCTGCAGCGTGCGACCACGGCCGCCATGATGTCTGCGTCGGTCACAGAGTCAACGGGCTTCTTTAACACATAGGTAGCTAAGTTCCTCAGTGTTTTGCGCTTGACTGAACCCTTTACAGTAGCTACGACATTTTCAAATGTCTCGCCAGTGGTCGTGCAGCGATGGCGAATCTTCTCCACATAGCGTTCCCATTCACGATGCCACTCAATCAGCGCAGCATGTTCCCAACTGGAGAGCTCAGGTGGTCGAATAACCTCAAAGATAGGCTGGGGAATCGACATCTCCACGTCTCCATCTGAGTCGACCGTAAAGCGCGTCCCCGACATGGTTGAAGTCTTGAACTTAAGCACTTCAACCGAATTTAAACGAGCAACTTAATGCGTATCGCACTTAAGTAATCGTACTTAGTCGACGTAGTTCGGTGTAGCCTTGAGCCAATACGACGACAGGTCTTCTTCCTTCAGTCGACACGCGCACCGAAGAGACGAAGTTCCGGACAGCAGCGATGACCGGGATCAATAAACTCACGCTTCGAAGAGCGCAAAGCTAGCTTTGTCGCGAATACCCGGGGTGTTTCCAAAGAGGAAAGTTGATTAATGAGCAAAGTTAAAACAGGTAAAGAGAGCAGCTCTAGCAAACTATAACGCGTTCTGTATCCATAGAGTGCTCTTGATCATGCAGTCGTGGAGGACACGTGCCATCCCCCACTAGTTGCTGCCGCCGCGTGCCTGGAGCGAGTCTTCACTGCATAACTCGTATACTCTGCATCCACAGGCACGACGACACACGCAGTCCACTTGAAGGAGCAAACACTCAGCAGGTTTGATGTTGACGCGCCACCGTAGCGCGTAGCTTGACCATAATCTGCCGACACATAACCTGTATATATTGCCAGCTCGGGCCGGCAATACTGAACTTCAATCATCACTCGATGGTTGGCAGCAGCAACCCTGCCACTGCCAATCGGAAGATCAGTATTTGCCGCCCCTACATGCCCCCAGCCCACTACACTTTACGAAAGCCTTAATAGACGCTAATACTACCGACGCGGTCTTGTTTGATAGAAGCTTTGCGTAGCCAACCCGAGAATTGATGTTGACTGCTGTCAAAATTGGTTTCTTCTCCCAAACCGTTAGATATATTTACCACGAGTTGGGGTTATGAGAAGCAATCCTGAACCCATCGAACCGTTTTTCTGCTCTTGAAATCGTTTTGGCCCTGGTACCAGTCTTTGACTATTTCTAACGTAATTTTATAGTTTAAATCTTTTGCCTTTTGATATAGCGCTTGAGCTCCAATATAAACCGTTTTGGGATCATAGTACAACTTGTGTAATAGATCATCCATGTTTAAGCTATTCCTAAATGAGATGTCATAAAAATATGATTTCCTCCCGGAAGCATATCAATTATATCTCCAATGGAGCAGTCGTGATGCCATCTTCGAGGACTTAGCGCTTATCGTAATAATATGACAAGGTCGTCTTCGTCTGACTATACGTAATAATTGACTTTGTCTCCTTGCTCAGTCGAAATCCCTTGTCGGTACCTTGTAGCGTGATACGGTCTCGGCCAACAGTCTCGAAACCTTTTGGGTTTAGAACATCCTCATTGCGACCACGACCTTGCTGAACGCCCTTTGCTGAAACCTTGACCTTGTACGACTCGTCAGGTAGATAGCAGATGTAGTTCTTGGATGAGAGAGACCATCGCAGAAGCTGATAAGCGATGTCGTTGAAAAATACAATTCTACTTTCAATCGGTCCATCGGTATGACCCCAAACGAAGCCATAGGAAAGGTAATGGAATCAGAACTTACATAACCAGGAAGAAGCTGACAAGGTCGAGAACGAGTTTGAGGTTGGCTCACACGTTATGTATCGTCTAAAAAAGCAGACGTTTGATAAAGAAGCTGCTAGATGGAGTAAAGCCGTCTACACTGTAGTTGGTATCGATGGAAATCGAGTAGAAATCAAATCCAATAATGGGCACACGCTCCAGCTGAGTTTGTACACACTTTGTACAAATCTTTACAAAATGGTACAATCTACTACATTCTAGTTTGTACAAAAGTACAAACTGACACAAACTGAGCGCAGTCGTACATTGTAAGTTCCGTAAAGAAGGGGCAGAAACAAGTAGAGACAGAACACAATCTGAGAACCAGCTTGCAAAATAACGTTACTCTTGCGTTATTTTATGTAAACTACATATCTATTCAAGTTTGTGGACTACTTGGCGAGCAAAATCTTCACTATGTATCTGTATCTGCGTCACCAGGAGCTTCGTACATGTCGAAAATGTAGCTCTCGATAAATGGAAGCACCCAAATTCCGCAGCTAGAACCGTCCATCTGCTGGTATTCGTGACTCACCGCTCGCTTTCATCTCTTGCTTTGTTTTAAAAGCGGGAGAAACACATTCTTGAAAATGTTTGTCACCTTCGCTTAGACTGCTTTATAGCGAGACGTAAGGTTTCTGTGTTTTTGTCCGTGATGAGAGCGTGCTAGTGCCATAGTGAAGCTATATCAAGTTAATAAGAATGTAAAAATTAAACAACTGCCTACAAAACACCATATAAAATCTGATACAAACTGCAGCAAAATACCACAAACTGATACAAAATGCCACAATCCGTATACAATCTACAGCAAAATGATACAACTACCATGAAATTGGAGATCTCCGCTTAACATTCAGAGCACGGCAAACATTGAGTCCTCCGACAACTTACCTGGATGTGCTGTCCGGGTCCACAACTCTCGTGCACCATGAAAGAAAAAAAAGCTTGAATCGCTCGGAGTTGGTACCGTGAGTTGTATCGACACGCAGACCCTCGGAGCTCCGATTTGGCGTAGCTTGTTTACTTCGTCCAGGGTCCCCGTGTTGAGGCGCAATCGAATTGCTCGGAATTATTCTGCTTTACCAACCCTGTGGTTGGGCGACACAGTGCGTAGAGAAACTACAAGGTAATAGTTGCGCTTCTGGAGGAGCGACAACTTTTATAACAAAAACATTATAAAACTCAGTACGCAAAATACTAAAAATAATTCGACAGAATCAAATTACCTTTGTTTCGCAGCCAAGAGGCCTGGTTTGTTGCCGAGGCCTCTTCACTGCGTTTCGTTTTCTTGGATTCCCGGCGTGAGTGCACAGGTAGTAGACAACACAGTGAGGAAACCCCGCGTTTTGAAGCAGCTCCGAGTAAGCCCTTGGTGCGCGTATTGTTCTTGAATTTTTTTATTTCTTCTGTCTCGAGTCGTGGATGTTCGTTTGTAATAGCTCTAACAGAAGCAGAAATTGTCAATTCGTATGCTCTCTGCTGCTTCGTTAGCCAGTTTTTGTACCTAAAATGTCCTTTCGGAATACGTAGCGAAATATGAATCAAACTTGGTGACCGATATAAACGTTTATCTAGAAGACTTAGGCACGTGACATGAAGCGCACGTGGCGAAGACGGAGGCCGGTGTGCGCTTGTGTTTGATTCGGCAGCGACAGCGGCATACGTCGTCGTATGCAGTTTCCTCAGATGCAATGTTGGGCCCGCGCTTCTGTCTGCCTGTATTGCGTTTCATTTTGCGTACGCGCAAGAGGGGGGGGGATTTGGAATTGATTCACAGCCACAGAAAAGCATTGGAATTAAACGTTCGTTTGGACGGCGTTATTTAACGCTGTATCCACGCCTGAGCTGCGGAACATAAACTAAATTTATGTTCCGGATCTATTTTTTGTGGTAATAGTCACTTTCACATTAGTATAGCGAAAGCATGGAGCTATATTATTGCGATTCGACAGATTGTCCTATGGACATCTGTCTCGATGACGTTGAATATATTGATGAACCTGAGTGCGATTATGTTATTGATAACAGCGAGTACTCTACCCCTCTTAAAGTAGTAAGGAACTCTGCTAAAAAAAATGAACCATACCACTTTGTGCTAAAAGAGGAAGTGAAGCCTCTAGCGATAAAGCTACCTAATGATCTTAAGTCACTTGATATTGAGGCTTAATTACTGGCTCCTACGGTCGTGAAGTAATTCTTTTCCAAAGTACTCATCTTGTTCTTATTAATAAGTCTGAGATTATCTTGTGGCTCCCAGGAGTCTGGCTCATTACCGACCCATTTGATTAGGTATTTATACTTCCCCTTCCGCATTTTTTTGGCATCCAATATCCTCTCCGCCTCGATAATATCCCCTCGATATATAGTTGCGTCCGTCGCTTCAGATTGAACCACTTTGAGCTCATTTGGAGCTTTGTAGGAACCGGCTCTTTATTTGCGATTCGACGACATAAGTCGCCTTATGACGCGGTGAAACCCCGTCCGAGCGGACTCTGCCTTGCCATGACTTGCCGCGCAAGGACCAAATCTGTCGAGCAATGCTCGCGAGAGGCTCTACCCTCCGGATATTGCTTCCAGCATGAAAAAGATTGCAAGATCCAGATGTTCAAAACGGAGCTCAAGAAGATGCATCAACGTGTTCGTACTTTCAGTGAGAAGCTAAACGCTTATCATCGAATGATAGTAGATATCAATCGCTGTGATTATATCAAATATCGACTGGATCAGCTGGAACAGCACACACCATATCGATTCATCTGCAACGATCCTCGTTCCAAAGAGGAGATCGAAGAGATTTTTGATCTCCCCTTCGATGAGTGCCAACAATCGTATATCTCCTTGCTCGAGAGAAGGAATGCAATAGTTCATAAATACACGATGCAGAACTGGGAGGAGCAACACGCCCAGCGATCAGCTCAACTAGGGAAGATTGAATATAAACCACGATTCAGGAATTAATTTCGAGATTGGTATATAGCATCATCGGAAAATGTTCCCAAACTTTACTTCACTAGCTCAACGCGAGCAAAAACGCCTCGATCTGCTTGAACGCGTCAAGCGCCGTGTAAGACGAGAGGAGCAGAAGCGAGGAATGTACGCAGATGCTCAATGGGCATCAGATGTCATGAATACCATCTCAGTCTTTAGACAATCCACTCAGGATTCGTCTATTCAGACTGATGATGGTCTTTTAAAAAAGCCTCCTATAGTAGTTGATACCACGGTAGGCTTGCAAGACGGAACTCAAACACCATTGGAGAAAATTGTGCAAGAATCTGTGGCTAATGAGGACATTGAGAGCCAAGGTTCTCGGGCACCGCCCTTCAACTAAATCCCAAGAAATCCCTGAAGATAAAAGACGAACGACGTTCGAGGTCGGAGACTCTCGGACCGAGTTCCGAGAGCCCCCTCTTCCATCTTCAGTAGAAGAAAAAACTAAGGAAACGATCGAACCACTATTGGCTGCTGAAAATGTCTCACGAACATCTCATTGGGTTATATCAGCGTAATCCAGTACTATCAAAATTTAAGGCGATATGAATGCGCGACCAATGAGCAAATATTACATCGGAAAAGATGGTGATATCGTTAGATTTTCATCTAATTGCAAAGTTAAGTCAATTCCATCCAAACTTAGTTGGATTGTGTCTGAAAGCTATGTAAGAGATATGATTCGAGATGATGAGGGTGTTAGAGATGTAAAGAGGATGAAGAAAAGCGAAAGAAGTCTGGTATTGAGCAATCCACTAAGAGTGCTGATACTGGAGAAGATCACAACCTAAGTCGAGAACGTCTCTATTGGTTCTTGTCGTTCTATGGAAAGCTACTTCGAAAGAATCGTATCCCTATTGAGCCTATTTTTAAGCATGGAGGTTATAAATCAGACAATTATTATCTAAAGCAAGACGTTCGCGAAGGTGAGTTCAAACTAATTAATTATCGCTCGAAACGTGAGGCTACCAGCTTGAAAAATGATATTGATTATGTTGCCACGCTAAGCTCGATATTGCAGAAGGTTAAAGCTGAACATCTTGATGTTGGAACAACGGAGATGGATAAAATCATTCATGCGAACAATCGTACGATCTTAAGAGAGTCCAAGCTATTAGATACCGAACTACTAAGGCAGACGAAGCCTGGTGATAAACAGGTGGGTAGTGATCGTCCATATGCAAGGTTAAGTATGCCAGATCAAGAGGCAAGGTCAATTCTGGAGGACTACGTTAAGAAAACATATTATTGTGCCTTTCTGCCAAAACGCCCTCAGTTTTATGGTCCTACGTAGGAGGGTGGCCCTTACGGAAGACCTCCTATCTGATCGGTTGCAACCGACTAAAAATTAGCCTAACCCTTTGACGAAAAAAAGACGATGCCAATCAAAGACATATTATGTCTTTGATTGGCATCGTCTTTTTTTTTCTGGGGCTGCGTCAAACAAAATGATACTTATAAACCTAAGTACGAATCGCGATTTAAGCACACTAAACGAAAGCGGGGCGTCTCCTCTAGTATCATTTTGTTTGACGCCGCCTCAACACGCGTGGTCCGGTAAAATAATATTTGACCAGACCACGCGTGTTTTTTCAGGGAAAACCTAAACCATAGCAATACCATACAGCAAATTAACAAGGTAAGATGTAGCAGTCACAAAATTGATATTGTACAATACCTTCCATCCTTTGAAATTTCATCGACAAACACGATTTGATCTTGCCCGGCAATAGCCTGTTTACATACTCTTGCCTCGCCAGCGTATGTCCGATGAGAGCCCATATTTGATTTAAAATCGTTCTGTTGTGGATACCTTACGTAAGGGTAAATGACCGGCAAATACTGGCCATTCAGCCCTTAATTTGTTAAAAGGTACCCTTTAGACCTAATCGGAGCCCTTACGTAGGGCCTTCACAATCAAGTATTATTGGATCATAGTCGGCAAAATCATACAGTGTTATTGGTCAAATATCATTTTATTTAGTGGCCTGGCTTAGCAATTCAACCCCAGTTCGTCCTCAAATCCCACCTTTAGCCCCACCCACCCTTTCTTAGGACCAGCTTTTAAAGGTCAGATTGGCCAAAACTTTGGAAAGGCACAATATGATCATTCAGTTATTGACCTGGGAGTAATGTTATATATCCGGGGACAAGGCGCTTATACTCACTTCCTAGTTTGGTACAAAGCAAAGGGTGATAACCATCAGTTTGGTATTAGAGCCATAAATCAGCATGATGCTAATAACGAAAGACGTAGTAGCCACCCCCTTGCAACTGGAAAATATAAAACAGACTTAATGTCTAAGATTGAGTGGGCAAGCTCGTTAGACATTCTGTATGATGGCGTATACCTCCTCTTCCTTCAAGGGTCGGGTAGTCCGCGGCTGTTCAGGGAGTACGGTCTTGTTCAGTGGCTGCAGGAACGGTAGATAGGAACACTAGTAAGTTGAAGATAGAAGTTTGTTGGTTGGCTTGGCTTCCTCTTGAGTAGAAGGAGGCAAATATAAGACTGAGAGCTAACCGGAAGAGAGGTCTAACACCTTCTCGACCTTACATACACTACACTACTTCTCATACTAAAAAGAAGGATTCACTTCGTTTGCTGTCAGCCCTCGTGGGACAACAGAGAGCTTCTGGGAAGGGGCTTGATGACGCGAGGAGCTTTGGTCCCACGATGCCACGACACCGGTGTTCTGGGACCCCCTTACAGGGCCACCCTAACGGGCTCGACCAGGGGCACGTGCGTTGTCGGGTTCAACGGGAACCATCCTGACGGGACGGCCGGACGAGGAGTGATTCCAGGGCCTCGGGTCATCCCGTCGGGAGGCAGAGCCCCTGAAATGACCCCTCCGTTCCCGGGTACGGGACATCCTCCCCGACTTGTCGCTCGCCGTCCTCGGCGAACGGATCCTCTGCGTACATCTCTCACGTTAGCCCTATCGACTCCGTCGTTAGTAACTTCGTCAGACAGGAGAGGCTGGAACGCTTCAGGGTAGTCCTCGGAGCAGTCCTCAACGTAGTCAGGGTCGGCGGCTTGAAAGTTATACAACGTCGTCGTCGACCCGTAGACGTTCGATGTTTCGGGCTTCGGCCATACTACGCTTGGAAGCGTTTCGGCGGGTACTTGTCAAAGCTAGTGCGACCAGTAATTTAGGGGAGACGGTTCTGAGAGGGCTTCCCCTCGTCGTATTGACGACAGGCGTGAGATACCACACCGGCGACCACCACGACAAGAGTGTCGGCGAGACTCCAGCCGGTCCACTCGAGGCCGTAGTTGGTAGCTAGTAGGAGCAGCAGTACAGCCCCCATACCCACAGATCCCAGGAGTACGAACTCCACCAGATCAAAGACGTTGACCGGGATGTATAGCAGCAGGGACAGGCATAGTAGTACCAGCCAGCAGGTGGCTTCTCCCACCGCGTACAGGCGCATCCAGGTGACCTTGAGAGCGTCCCAGAAAGCGTACCAATAGCGTTCGACTAACCCCTGAGTCTGATGGTGATAAGCAGATCCAAACAACTTCTTGATTCCCAGTGTTTCGTAGAAGGATCGTGCCAAGTTCGAGATGAAGTTGGATCCTTGGTCGCTTAGTAATTTCTCGGGGACTCCGTGCCGCGAGATCACTTCGTTCACCATAATTTCCACGAACGTTACAGTGTCTAAGCGGGCCACAGGGAACGCTTCGACCCATCGAGTAAAGTAGTCGGCGAAGACGGGTATGAACTTGTTGCCTCGAAGAGTAGCCACTAAGGGACCTATGGCATCCACCACTAGTAGAGAGAAAGGTCCGGACAGTTCTTGTACGGGCATTCGCTGCATCCGGCCGTTTCTATAAGGGCGATAGCCTTTACCACTGCCGCAAACGGTGCATTCTCGAGCATATTCGGCCACATCCTTCTTCCAGCCGTGCCAGTAAGCGTGCTTACGCACTTTGCCGAGCGTCTTAGTAACTCCGACATGTGCGGCAAAAACATCCTTATGACAGTGATGCAGCACAGTTGATATGAAAGGCAGGGGAATCACAGGAACTTCAAGAGTAGACGCGGGTCCAGCGCGAGCCTTCAGGTGCACGCGATGCATGAGCACTCCGTTCTTTACCGAGTAGTTAGGGGCCATCAGCAGGATTTTAGTGCGCATTTGAGGGTCCAGAGCTAGAGCTTTATCGCTTAGGAACGCTATCATAGCTGGGATCCAAGGTGTCCTCTTCTGCTCTTTCACGAAGCGAGTCTGTTGTAATCCGAACACATCAACTGGGGACTCCAGGAGCTGGTCAGTAACCTCTTCTTCGTCGGGAGACGCCACGGGTTCAGATCCGCCGGCGGTCTCGGGCAAGGGCTCTGAAGGGAGCAGAGTCGAGTCGAGAGGCGCAGTCTCCCCGACTTCGACAGTACTAGGAGGGGACGCGTCAGCATCGCTGAGTAGCTCTGCCATAAAGATAGCATTTATGGTTTGGGTATGCAGTCGGGACAGACCATCCACATGACCCATAGAAGTACCGGGCTTGTGGAACACCTTGAAACGCAATTGGGACAACTCCATGGCCCACCTAGCCAGCTTAGCGTTACTTGTACGGTTAGGCTCGTTGAAGACCCACGTTAAAGCTTTGTGATCCGTGTACAGGTCGAGCTCGCAGCGGTCCAGGTAGCAGCGGAACTTGCGTGTGGCCCATACGATACCCCAGCACTCGATCTCCGAAGTACCGTCCTCCTTATGGACCCAGTTCTTCTCGGAGCCAACTAGTAGTTTGCTCGCATAGGCTACGACTCTCTCGCGCCTATCCACGGTTTGCATCAAGCACGCTCCCACGGCCAGTTTAGAGGAGTCCACATACAGATGGAATCGCTTAGAAACGTCTGGATACACCAGGATAGGAGGTTCCACCAGCTTACGCTTCCGTTGCAGGAAAGCGACCTCGCAGTCGTCGCTCCAGAAGAATCGGGCATCCTTCATCTTGGGCCGTTCGATTGGGGCCGATATGGCCGCGTATCCCGGATTGTACCGCCTGAAGTAACTAGTCAAACCCAGGAACGCTCTCACAGTGTGCAAGTCGTGTGATCTGAGCACGTTCATCACCGACTTGACCTTCTCGGGGTTGGGCAAGATGCCATAAGGAGTGACGATGTGTCCCAAGAACGCTACTTGGTCACGTGTTCACTTACACTTCTTCATCTTGAGCTTGAATTCAGCAGAACGGAACCGTTCCAAGACTTTTTTTAGTCGCACTAGGTGAGTTGGAAAGTCTTCACTGAAGACCACGCAGTCGTCGAGATACACTAGACAAGTCCGCCACTTAAGGTCAACAAGCACAGTCTCCATAAGCCGCTCGAAGGCCGGTACTGCATTACACAGTCCGAACGGCATCACGAGCCACTCGAAGAGGCCATATTTGCAGATAAAGGCAGTCTTCTCCACGCTATCCGCAGCCATCGGGACGTTCCAGTAGCCGGATGCTATGTCCATTGTGGAGAACAGCTCAGCGTTACCTAGGACATCTAGAATGTCGTCAATGAGCGGCATCGGGTAGCAGACCTCGATAGTGACGGCGTTCAGTCTCCGATAGTCAATGTAGAACCGTATTCCTCCGTCAGGTTTGCGGATCATAAGCACCGGGCTGGCCCAAGGGCTAGAAGAAGGTCGTATGAGTTCTCGCCTCAAGTATTCTTGTACCTCGGACTCCATCACGTCTCCTTCCGCCTTGTACACTCGGTAAGGGGGTTGCCTTATAGGCGGGTATTCTCCAGTATCAGTGGAAAACACGAGTAGGCTCGTACGTCCGGGGCGCATCGAGGTTTCGACGAACATGTCCTTGAACGGTTGGAGAAACTCCGTGAATATTCTCTTCTGTTCGCTCCCCAATTTGGACTCGTCCAAGTCGACTCGAAGCTCCTCCTTGAGTACTCGGTCCAGTTCAGGTACGGATTCTTGAGCGACCTCGGTCGCCGCACCAGAGGCGCCAATGACTGAGTGGACCCACAGGTCTTGAGATCTTTGGTCCATAGTCTGGGCTTCGCCGGGCAGGGCGTCTTCGTGCTTCATATTCGTAGTGGTTCCTCGCTGAAGCGCTGTCTCGGGGATTATCGTAACACTCGCCAATCTAGAGCTTCTCTTGATGACTGTGTCCTCGATAGAAGGGTTGCATACTTCCACGATCACTTGGTCGTTATACACAGTGCACAGAGTCCTAGCAACTTTAATGGAGTCATCCAATGCAGTAAGTCCTTCTATGAGGACGGTGGTCCCGTCACTCAGTTGACCTTGAGCCTCCGCAACTACTAGAGCTTGTCCACTAGGACGGAGCCGAATGGTAGATGCGATGCGGGACAGGTAAGATTCCTCCACCCGAGGAGATCCCAGAGGGAACACCTCTCTCGTGTCCTTTAGCCTAACTGTATTCTCGTCCAGATCCACCACGGCGCGAAAGTCCTTGAGAGCGTTGGTGCCCAGGATGGCGTCGACGTGTAGCTTAGGTACGACGGCAAACGGTATTCTCCTCTCGACGGAGCCCAATGTCACTGGCAAGTAGATTACTCCTTCGATATCGAGCGCAGACCCGGACACACCGTTCAGACTACCAACGTACGGTAGGCGAGGGGAGTTAGTTAAACCGAGACGCGTCAAGACCCGCCTATGCACTAGGCACGCTACGGCCCCGGAGTCGATGAGAAGTTCAGCCAGGAGGTTTTCGATAAATCCCCACGATAGAGCTTCCACGCCCCCCACTGATCCGATTATCGCTTGTCAAGGAGGTCGACACCTTCTTCCTCGTCAGCGGACCCGTTTTTAGTAGAGCTCGGTACTTCCACCAGGCCCGGCTTGAGGCGAGGTTCCGGAGCGCCTGCGACGACGTTCACATAGCCGTACAACACATTCTCCTTATCCCGGGAACCACTAAGGGACCTATGGCATCCACCACTAGTAGAGAGAAAGGTCCGGACAGTTCTTGTACGGGCATTCGCTGCATCCGGCCGTTCCTCCAAGGGCGATAGCCTTTACCACTGCCGCAAACGGTGCATTCTCGAGCATATTCGGCCACATCCTTCTTCCAGCCGTGCCAGTAAGCGTGCTTACGCACTTTGCCGAGCGTCTTAGTAACTCCGACATGTGCGGCAAAAACATCCTTATGACAGTGATGCAGCACAGTTGATATGAAAGGCAGGGGAATCACAGGAACTTCAAGAGTAGACGCGGGTCCAGCGCGAGCCTTCAGGTGCACGCGATGCATGAGCACTCCGTTCTTTACCGAGTAGTTAGGGGCCATCAGCAGGATTTTAGTGCGCATTTGAGGGTCCAGAGCTAGAGCTTTATCGCTTAGAAACGCCATCATAGCTGGGATCCAAGGTGTCCTCTTCTGCTCTTCCACGAAGCGAGTCTGTTGTAATCCGAACACATCAACTGGGGACTCCAGGAGCTGGTCAGTAACCTCTTCTTCGTCGGGAGACGCCACGGGTTCAGATCCGCCGGCGGTCTCGGGCAAGGGCTCTGAAGGGAGCAGAGTCGAGTCGAGAGGCGCAGTCTCCCCGACTTCGACAGTACTAGGAGGGGACGCGTCAGCATCGCTGAGTAGCTCTGCCATAAAGATAGCATTTATGGTTTGGGTATGCAGTCGGGACAGACCATCCACATGACCCATAGAAGTACCGGGCTTGTGGAACACCTTGAAACGCAATTAGGACAACGCCATGGCCCACCTAGCCAGCTTAGGACAATGATGCTATGTTCACGTTGCATGAACAAGGTGATCTTCTTGATGAGGTCAAACCACAACTACGTCCACAAAATCTTATCGAAGAGAAGTGTATTAACTGGAGGCCGAGTTTGGGCGTATCAGCCGAAGCGAAAAAATAAACCAAAGACATTTGCTCTGTAAGCAAGCCTAGCTACATTTTTTTGGCGCGGGGCGAAGCCCCGCCCCGCTCAGATGGAGATGAATTTCATCTCCGGCTAAAGCCTGCGATTCAATCCTAAAATGATGGATGGATTTTAGCTCATTTACTTGCTCAATAAGGTCATTTATTTGCCTTTGCTGACGGAGCGTGAGCTTGTGGAGTAGACAGATCATCTTGCTATAATCGACACAGAATTGCTTTCCAGGTAAATCGATTGATTCGTCCTCTACATTAAGATTAGGATTATTGATGATATTTATCCATTGAAACAATGCTGCATTCAGTAAAGATTGAGCGCAGTATCCAGTTTTCATCGGAGATCCCTCTTCGTCGTTCTTATAACTAAAATAGCACGGTTCCACTTTTAAAAAGGCTTCGCAAACATCTTCTTCAATTGGTTCAAAGCTTTTTTTTCAAACGAGCATCGGCGTATGTGTAGTAAGCTGTAGTACTACCAGCACAGGCTATAGCGATTGGAACTGATGCGATAGGTCCTACAGGACTTACTAGACCTCCTGATTGCTTGAAATAAGCAACGCCTGTAGCGCCTACGTCAAGGGTTGTAGATACCGTAATAGCACAATAAAGACCATATAGAGGAGAAGTGGTGCCGATGTCGACTCTGCCCGCGTTAGTACCTCCTAAAATGATCATTCTAGTAGAGTTTCCCGTGCCAAATTTGAGATCATTTGATGTATCTGTACCTATAAACATGGCATTGCTAGAGGTTGCATTCGTTCTATTATGAATTTCAATGATGCCTGATACTGGCGTAGCGTTACTGCCAGTAAATCGACAGCAGCGGGTATATGATCCATCTAGATTATCTATACCAGATCCAGTGATCAATAGATAACTATCAACTGGATAAGTAGTACCAATTCCGCAGTCTGTACGTGTACCTACTGTTGTTATAGTGCTCTGAGCTGCAAAACAATGAAGGCATTCACTTTATGTGACGTATCGACTGTGATATCGCCACCTGTTACATTGACAGCTCCGGTGATATCTAGAGGGAAGGCTGGGGAAGTTTGATTAATACCAATGTATCCAGCTGGAGAGATACACATGATTTCAGTTAAGGGAGTAGTTGAAAGTGCTGAGCTTGTTCTTTAATTAAATGTTGTATAACCAATACCAAAGGTCCCTGCGCCACCTGTATTCGTGAATAGAATACTAAACCCAGGTGTTGTTGAACCAATCGATGATGTAGTAGCACCAATAGCTAAACCAGTAGCACCACCACCTGTATCCAAGTCTCTTCTCAATAGCATTGTATACGAACTCATCATAGCTGTCTTCGTAGGAGGTGATAATTCATTACATTCTATCGTATCAATTCCTCGAATATGACTACTAGCATCTAAGATGAGACATTTAGAAGCCTGAGCCGTTCCTGCTGTAGTAATCGCAGTATAGTTAAGCTGGGTAGCAGAAGCTGTAAGTGTAGTACCACCTATCTGAAGCGTTGTGGCATTAAGATTTAGAGTTGTTGGAGAAATGGTCATTGTTCCTGAATAACTAATTTAAGAGACCGTTAGAGTATTATTCACCGTTGCACCATAGCAAATCAATCCGCCAATACTATTAATACTATTGGAGGCTGTATTATTAGCTGTTATAGTGCCAGATGCTCCTGTAGGTGTAACATTACCAGAAATGGTGTAGCTACTACCAGACGTAGTACCACTAACATTAAGTGAAGGCAAGGATCCAACTGAGGTAATATTGGGCTGGGCTGCTGTCTGTAGCGTACCAGTAATACTCGATACTGATATCGAGGTTAAACCACTGATTCCCGAACATGTAATGGACCCACTCACGGTTAGTGAGCTAAGCGTACCAACACTTGTGATACTGGGCTGAGCCGCGGTTTGGATTGTGCCTGTTAGCGAAGTTGCTGATAAACTATTGATACCGCTGATATCGCCTGTTTCATTAAGCACAAGCGCTTTGTTAACAGCGGCAGTGCCGCCAGTGATTCTGTTACGAGTCTCAGGACGCCTGCTCGCCGGCGGGTCGCATTGCTCACTGCCACCGTCTGTAGGTGAACTACCAGGGTTCCGAGGCTCGAACGCAATCAACACTGTACTGGCTGCTCTCAAGCCGCCGGGACGCGTCCGTCCCTATTTGTATTCAACTCAACCACTCTGCTCTACTCGATGTAGAGCTCTCAACTCAACCTCAACCTCAACTGCGTCTTACTGCTCAGCCCAGCCTCTCACAGGACCGCGGCTCACCGCGCAGACACGCTTAGGGGCCACCGAGGCAGTCATACACACGTCGAACCCTGTGTCCGCCGCACTGGTCTCCGCCGGTAAGCCCGCGTGCTACAACAATCAGACTCGTCAAAAAGCTAGCCCCTTCTGACCCGACCGCTTCCTCGAGCCACAACCACCACCACGAACGGCTCCACCCCGTCGCTCTCTACGAGCTACCCACTCGCTTTGTGCCTTACGGCTCTGCTCAACGAATGTCAGGCAGCTCTGCTCGCCCGACACTCGACTCGTTCTCGCGCTTCTCCGGCTGTGCTCGCAACGACCTGCAAGACCTGGGCCTATACACGCGCTCCGCAACGGACGCACCACTTTTCTCGTACTCGAGCCACTTGCGCCTCGCGGATCCAATTCTTAACTGAGTTCGAGCCGCCGCTCGCCGCTCAGTGTCCACATCACGTCCCGAATTCTCGGTCGACTTCGACGTGAAGCAGCTGCTCTACTGGCTTCTTACAGTGCTGCACTTCGTCGTCTCACCACCTCGTCCTTTCGTTTATTGCTCTGCTAGGGTCCACGATCGCACACTGATCGCCCTTCGACAGTAGCGGTCGGTGTCGTACCCCACTGCAGCTGTGGGTACAGACTGTACCGTACCGTGGCTCTTCCTGTCACGCGAGCCTCTGCCGCTCACATTCACCGCTGGTCCCGTGAACTGGCGTCGTCTCCGCTTCCCCACAAACGAGCTGCCCGTGTTCCGCGCCGGGTTGCAGCTGCCCGACTTCAACAGCAAAGACCCGCTCAGTCCCTCGTACTAGTGCCCTGTTACAATTCCAAGAACATAGCTGGGGGGGGTGCTGATACAGCAGAACCGCCAATAGTTAGAGACGAACAACTCAGTGCTCCTAATCCGCTAAGAGACCCATCAAAAGCTACGACAAGAGCTATACCTGGTGTAGCAGTACCAGGGGTGATGCCAGTGATGTATGACAGACGATAGTCATTGATGCCTAGATATAATGTTTGGGCATACGCATAGGTCAAGTATCCTGTCTAATCGAGGGAGAGGTAGAATGCTGGGTTGTAGCATGAAGAAATGAACGTTTGGTGGATAGATAAATCCAGACATCAAATCGATGATTGAAGCACGAAATCGAGCTTGCTTACTCTTTCTTTAATCGCTACCAGAAGGATACACTAGGTATCTTTTCAGGCTGGCTATACTGAAATCAAGACACCTTATTGTCATATTTCTTTCCTTCGCGCTAATCGTCGCCCATGTTTTGCCCAATCGCAGCTTAGGAAGCGATGTTTTAGAAAGCCAATGTACCCACGCAGCTGTGCCGATGCCTTGTCCTATTGTGTCTCATGGAGTACTGCAGAGAAACTGGCAACCAACGCATCTATCAAACCCGCGGCACATTCACAACACATTCTGTAGCACAATTATACTCGAAGAAAGATCTGATGTAGGCACTACAGCCGCTTTCTCAAGGCGCCCATCGTATCACCATGATCGCTTTCACCACGCATCCCCGCCAGCAACAAGATAAGGAAAGTTGTCATCACTGCGGTATCTTAGGAACATGGGAGCTCGTCGCTGTGGTAGTGGGTACTTAGCAATGACGCAGAAATGCCGCCAGCATGTATAACTCTCGCTCCTCTCTCTTCACGCTTCAGGTGGCTATCGGCACGCCTACGACTTCAAGTAGCACGGAAAGGTCCGCGATTTGGTAAAGTTACTGCTGTTTGCCAAACTATATTTGGTGTGCGACTACAGGCTGTTAGGGGCCAGCATATTCTTCATGCCGTGCGTGTGTCGATAATTGCTGAGTTTGCTCAAGAAGAAAGTTCCGCCAAGATGGAGAGCTCAGGTGTTTTCGCAGAAGCCGCGACGAGAACGCCGCATGGAGAAAGGAGAACAGCGCTACAGAAGAAGAGATGTCAGTCGCCCGTATATAAAGAGAAGCTCAGAGCCTAAGGACTCGATGTGCTGGGCAGTTCTCCCCTTGGCGATCCAGAAATGAACTGTACTAATTACTGATGCGTCGATGGCGCTACCCATAACCGGATAATGAAGTTCATGGACCGTAAAACACAACCGAAGCTTGAGGTATGGATCCCTGGTTTTAAAAACCGGTTCTATGAAGAATCGCATGACGACAGAAGAAAAAAAATATGCATTATCCGTCACAGTTACTATTGATAGGTATCTTCGCTTGACGAAGCTCTTTCAAGAACGGGGCCTGTGCTTTATAGATCGATGAAGACCTTTTCAGGTTTCCGTCGACTGTGTAGACTTGCTTTGGTAAGAAAAAGAAGTGATACTTCTGCCAGCATGTCCACGCTTTCTGTTGGCATAGGTGAGGCTTAGCAGTGTCAACCGGATATGTACGCTTACAGAGTGCCACTCGGTGTGTCTCGCAGTAATCCGTTTTTGGGTGGGATATCTACCCTCGAACTTGCAAATGGTGCATTTGCGCTTCGCTCTGCTTCTGTCATTCAAGGCGAGCGATGCCTCTTTTGCAACGCAAATCAGTGGCATAGCTATAGAACTCTCGTTTTCCCTTGGAAGAAGTGTCATCCGTCGTAGTGTTTGCAGGGGTTAGGGCGTACACCATGCCATCGGTACTATCAACGGACTTTTTCCAATCTCCATTGAACAGCTCTCGAACAAGCGAAACTATACATGCGCGGTGTTTATCTTGCGCACCCGAACTTGAAGTATCATCATAATTTGGAGTGGAGCCGCTCCTGCCGCAGGCCAGGTTATGACATAGGTATGCGTTGCATCTCGCTATATCAATAATAGCCATAGCTATCTTCTTGTGCCATTTTTGAAAAGAGTGGCCATCGGCGAGCGAGAAGCGACCGCGAAGCTGGTCGTGGTGGTCGACACCTTGCATAGCTGAGCTGTACTCTCCAATACAAGTAGGGGCAGAAAACGCAACCTTCGTGCCCTTAATTCGACGATAGACGGTGGATGATGTAGACGAGTCCGCATTAGATATTATGTCGACAATCGATCCGTCGACCCAACTTGCAGCAACTATATGTTTTTCTAAACATACGCCTTGTTTCGCGAAGCCTCTGGGTTTTTCGTCTTTCTTCTTTATCACCGTAAAGTGGGGGAAATGTTTGCTGGAAGAACGGACAGTACCGCGTCCGTATAGGCCGACCGATTGCAGGCTTTCTAGCAGCTGGCAGGACGTGTAATAGTTATCTGTGTTCACGATGTGACCTGCGCCCGCCAAAGAAGCTGTAACTTCAATTACGTGAGATCGGACTTCAGAAGAATTCTTTGTCATTTCAGCAAGCCGGGACAGCTCTGATGCTGGAACGACGCCAGCTAAACGATCACCAATCTAGCTAGAGCAGTGTAATTTGAAATACGAAACGTACCAGGAGGTAGAGCAGCAGCAAACATATAACTTGAAATGGTACTTTCCTGTAGGCTTTTGTAAATTGAAGACAATGAGATGTCTAGCGTATTGCGATCTACACGCAACGCTAGCTTCATCTACTGCTGCCACATTTCGCCCAAGGATAACATGACGCCCACTTCTGGATTTCAGCATGTTGATAAGTGCTCTTATCCGAGCTACAGGATCCCGCTGGATATCCAATGGGGTAACTTTAGAGCGAAAGCACAAATTCTTACGAATGTAAATGAATCTTTTCCACGTCATGACTGACTCCAAGTTTGTCGAGGAAGCTCCAGGAAATAAATGTGCTTCGTCGTCATCAACCCAGTAGTTCTCTCATTTCGCCTTTGTCGAACAGAGCCATAAACCATAAAATAGCCAAGAACTCCATCAGCTCATCCAGACTAATTTCCTAGGAAGTAGAACTACCACCAGCATCAGCGTATCTATTCGTAAATTGGACCACTTGACTCCAGAACGACAGGGGTATAAACGCAAAAAAAAGACGACGTTGCTGAGCGGCCAAAATAGCTACGGCTCTCTTCTCTTAGTTTCGTCAGCGTAGTCCCGTCGTCGTGAGTGTATAAATCAGATGGCTGTACCAGGGACGCAGTACTTGAAACTGTCAGCGAATGGATAGCTTCGACTTCGTCAGTACACAGCGCAATCTGTAATTCTTTCCGGCCACGAAACACGGACCATTCACGATATCCTTGTTCATCCAGCTCTTCGTATTCGTCTGAAAAATCAGTCATGTTTGTAAGCTGCGGCACCGCACGGCAAAGCGAGGTCCACGATTCTCCAAACTGTAGTGATCCCTTCTGTAATGTAGCAAAGTTACGCATTCCTCTGATCACGACTGATTCGGAAACTTGGTGGACGTGATCGTTACCTTGAAAAACAGTGCTAGTCCAGCGAATCCGAAATGCTGCCGGAGGAACGGAAATGCCGTCTGTATTTTTCACTTTCTTGATAGTGTATCGTGTCACCTGCCCCAACAAATACGCGGTTCCAGCATCTTGGTAACGTCTTTTCGGCATCCAAGCTTCTTTAGTAGGCGCAAACGCGACACTGGTCTCAACAAATCTCTCGTTCGTCATCCGCGCTACACGGATCAGCTCATCTTTCATTCCTATCGCCAAAGTTTTCCGTTTTGGTTTCGTTTGAATGGGCGACTTGCCGCTCTTATTGAGCGTACTTGATTTTGGTGTTGTAACATGAGATGGCCTTTTAGTTTGTGAAGAACCATGTGTCTTTTGTTTTGGGCGTGGTTGTCGACCTTGAGCACGGTTCGCGACACTATCCTTTGGAGTCAGAGCACTGGTCGTCAGTGTTGAGCTAATCGACTGAGCGGTGTTAGATTTGCTACAAGAGACGGAGTTTGATGTACCTTCGTTTTCTAAGCTTGTAGTATAATCATAGCAACGCCTGCTACAGTATGAGTTATCGCCAAAGTCTTCCATCAGTTCATTACCGGGACCGCGAATTTTTAACGAGATACACAAATCGTGCGAGCAGAAATGATGGATAAAATGTCCACATCGCGAGCATGCTCTTTGGCTGGAGCAAGTCGTCTAACATACTGCGGAGACTGGTGAATTGACAGCGATGTCTGGACTGGTCGATTCCGCATGCTTTTGCGCTGGTTGCTCGGCTGCAGCTGACACATGCAATAATGAAAATCTACCGTCCGATTCGGTATCATTACTCTCCAGTTCTGAGCATATCGAATCAGCTGAATTGATTCGAGCACAGCTTTGCGATGCTAAACCATCAAAGCGTACTTCACCGCCAGTATTTTGCGTATCGTGTGGATCTGGATTTCCATCGTCACGTGTACTGCCGGCAAGACAACCTCCATCACCAGTAGTCCCACATCCATCGGAGGTACTGTCTACAGGAATGCTGAAGTCTGCATTAGGGGAATCACTGTCATTCGTACACCCGTAACGGGTTCCAGCGTCCGGGTTGCCTCCCAAAGTCGTTCGGTTATAATGCTCCAAAAGTGCACGTTCTCCAAGAAACAAATCGGCCCCGGCCTCTCTATTTGCATTACCATCGAGAGGAACGTAGCGATAAAGCTCGCACAAACCGGTTGGCTGTCGATGATACGAGCCTTGATTGCGGAAACAGCGCCATACCGCACCAAATGCAGCCCGGTTAAATGCTATGTACGTGCATCAACGACAGTTATTGGTTTTAGTATATTACTACGAATATGCAAGGATGCATACCAGACGAAGCGGAGGTGTCGTCAGGTTTATCGGGAGCACGAGAAGGCTGCCGTCGCTTTGGAGTAGGCTCTCGATCACCCTGTAAGCGCTGTTTCCTTTTTACTGACCCCATCAATCACCGCAATAATGAGCGAGGTAATGGACCGATGATTCGTTCTT